CACCAGCCTCAAGCTGGTCCTTGATTCCCTGGAAGCGTCACTATTCCTTGGCCTATGAGAACAGCCTTTAGGATGCCCCCCTCTGCAGGCGGACTGCGCTAGGACGGAGGGTCCTAGATTCCAGTCCTGGCTCTGTCACGGATTCACCTTGACCTAGGGCTAGTCCCTGCCCCCTTCTGAGCCTCAGTTTACCCACCTATAAAATGAGCGCGTTGAACTACATAGTCTCCCACACTCCAGCCTCTGCAGCCCCTGGTCCCAGGCACCCAGAGCAGCCCCAGGGTGCCTCTGAGGGCCCCTGTGCAAAGCCAGCCTCTGGGATGGGCCTGAGGGAGCTGGCCAGGGAGGCAGGCCTGGCTCTGGGCCAGGCTGTGTCTGCAAACACTGACCTTGGCTGCCGCAGGGATTTTCCATGACACCAGCACCCTCCCCCTCAGCTCCCCCTAATCCTGTGGGCCTGGGGAGTGTGGGGGATGGGAGTGGTGAAGGCGGCTCTATATTCAGGACCCTGAATCAGAGTAATAGGGGCACCTGTGGATGGTAGAGAGAGAAGAGAGAGAGAGAGAAGAGAGAGGGATGGGCCTACACTGCAAAGTCTGGGAGGAAATCAGGGGTCGGGAGAGAACCTGCTAGGGGGCGTGGGGAGTGGGGAGAAGAGCTGAGAGAGTAGCTGGGAAGATGGGAAGAGAGGCCTTGGAAAGGGGCAGGGGAGAGAGGGGAGAGGGAGGAAGGGTGCTATGCTTCAGAGCTGTCCTTCCAAGGAGCTCTGGCCTGGAGGGGACAAACTCCAGACCCAGTTCTGCACACTGGCCCCTCCCCCTACCCAGGTCCATGAGGCCCTGGTGGTTTCCCAGGCCAGCCACAGGCCTGGGCAGGGCGGGGTTCCTCCCGGGGCACTGAAGCTGACCTCCTTCTGCAGGGGCCTGGGGCCACAGGGAGGGCAGGGGATGTGAGTCACTGAAGGCCCTGTGCCAAGGCTGCCGCCCCTCCCCCTGCTGGGTGTCTAGGGGAGGTTTCTCCCATCCACACCCCAGGCAGCAGGTCTGCTGCTCCCACCAGGCCTTGCGCGGGACCCTGAGGGGACCTGCTGGCCCTCCAGGAGCTCGGAGCCGCGCAGAACTCTGCAAACTTGAGTGCACAAGTGCCAGGTGAGGCAGAGAGCGAGGCAGAGAGGCCCCTCCAGCTCCGGAAAGGGGCCGGAAAGGTTCTTGGAAAAGGTGGTGTCTGAGCTGGATTCTAAAGGATGGAGAAGTCCCGCACTTCTCCCCAAGTCCACCAAGCAGGACAGCTTCCTCCGTCCCCGCTGAGGGCCCGCACTTCTCCCCAAGTCCACCAAGCAGGACAGCTTCCTCCGTCCCCGCTGAGGGCCCGACACTGCTACCAGCAGCTTCTGCCTCATCTCCTTTAACACACCCATTAGGCCCCTTCAAGCCTCCAGTCCCACCTCCTGGCTCCACACGGCTGCCATCCCCAGAGCAAGGGGGGATCCTTGGCGGGTCTTTCCCAGGTGCCGCTCAGGCTCAGGCCCAGCAGGAGAGCCCAGCCCCTCTCTGGGGCAGCTGTGCCTTACAGCCAGCCCTGGAGCTGCCTTTGTCTCCCCAGAGCCCCCACTCCTCTCCAGTGGCCGCCCCCCAGGCTCAGGCAGCACCCTGGGGTCAGGCCCTTCCCCATGTCCAGCTCTGCATCAGCCCAAGTTCACAGCCTTTGGGCACCTCAGGCCACAGGTCACCCATCCATCTTCCCTCAGGGCAAACATTAGCCCAGCCAGCGCCGTATTTACATTAGATAAGTAGGTGTTTGGGAACCAGGAAACAGACCCAGCCAGGCATGGCCGAGGGCTGTTTGTTCCTCACCTATAGAAGGGCTGAGCCAACCAGAGAAGGGACATCAGAGCATCTGAAGTCCTGGAAGAAGGACCTTGGAGTTCTTGATGCTACAGAGGAGAGTTTCCCAAACTGTGCTCTAGGGACACTTGTCCAGCAAGGTGCACTCTCAGAAGAGTAGCGGCAGGTCAAACAAGTGGGAAAATGTAGTATGTGCTCCCCACTCTGACGAACCTCGCATGTTAACCCGTGTAGGCTCCGATGAAGCTGACACAAATGAAATGACAACAACTCCTGTTACGCTCAGCCTTCCTCCAATGGGCTTTAACCAAACAACTCTTCTCAGCCAACAGTTATCCACAGTCCATGGGACTGTATTTCAGGAAATTAACTTTGGGAAATACTGACCATAGAATGTTGATGCTGAAGGGGACTTTAAAAATCCATCTAATCCTGATGATCCCCAAAATATTCATACTAGTGATTCGGATTTATTGATCCCAGGATCCCAGGCATTTAAGTCTACTAACTCATCAAAGCCCCGCAGCAGTTCTACGAGGTGAGCCCACCACTATTCCCATTTCACAGGTGTGGAAACTGAGGCACATGGCCAAAGTTGAAAGCTGTTTGGCCCCAAAGGCTGTGCTCTCATCTACGCCACTAAACTGCAGAGATCCCCCGCAGAAAACAGAAATACCTATTTTCAGCATTTCAAAAGGGTAACAATAACTTAATTCAGACTCATAAAATCAGTTATCCCCTGCTAAGCTGAAGTTTTGATTGGCAGATGTGTCCTTAATTCATTTTGATGGGAAAATAATTAATTATTGCTGTCACATTTATTCAGTGCCCGTCCTGCTCTGATCAACAACACATTGTACTGTGTTGTTGATAAATAAAATCTTTCGAAATCTGCACTCTAAGTGAGTGAACAGAAAAAAATAATAAAAGGGACCATAGCAAGGAGAAAAGGCGGAAACCTTTTATCTTGCCCTATCCTCCCATGTCACAGATGAGGAAAACTGAGGCCCAGAGAAGGAAAAGGACTTGCCCAAGACACAAAGCTAGCTGTGGTCAGGCTCAAGTCAGAGCCCCAGGTCTCCTGCCTCCTGGCCCCAGGCTCTTTCCTCCACCCAAGGCTGTGGCCAGCGTTCTGGCTCTGTGGCCAGCTAGACCAGGGGTACAAGGCCAGGCACTCAGGCTGGCAGGCATATGAGGTCAGTGGGGAGCAGGCAGCTGCGCCCAGTTCAACCACGGCCATTACCAAGGCTCAGACTGGTCATTTGTGCTTTGACCAGAAGGAACTAGGCCACAGGGAGAGAAAGTCCACTAAGAGGTACTCTGGACCCCCAGCCCTCTGCATCTCCCTGGAAGGCAGCGCTTCAGCCAATCTCCGAGCTCCTTGGTGATGCCGGGAGGAAAACAGAAGAACTGTAATAATATTCATCATTAATATTGATGTTCAGCCCCATGATTAATTTTTTTGGTCCAGCCACCCGGCTTCCTCAGGTGAATCCCATGCCTCCAGCTGGGTTCCAGGCCCACCGCTTAGCTGAGTTGCTTCCACGCAGGACATGCTGGGCCTGGTTGAATGAACAGGTCAACTCTGGTCACACTGAGCCAGAGGGCAGAGGACCGAGCATTGCATTTAGAACGGAGCATCCTGGGTTATAATCCTGGCTCTGCCATTCACTGGTTGCATGACCTTGAGAAGGTCACGTTTCCTCTCTGGCCTTCATTTCCCCGTCTGTACAATACAAGGACTGAGCTCTATGATCGCTAAGGGCCTCTCTGGCCCTTAGAACCTTAAGTCAATGGTGGATTCAGGCCGGGTGGCTGGAAGACAAGGGGCAGGGACAGCCCTGGTTAGCGCTCTGAGAGACAGCGGCTAGGGTCTTATGGTTGGAGCCTGGGTTCTGGCTGGTCAGTCCACTGGATACAATGAAGGAGGGTCCTCAGACAATGAGCCCCAGATGGCAGCCTCTGTGTGTATCAGTGACACACAAGGACAGATGGAGCCCATCACCAGGGGATGCAGGGCTGGACAGGAGGGAGAAGATGGGGGCTACTGTTTGCCCCTCTCCCCCTTGTAAACCCCAGCTTGATGTGGGCAAGGACCAGGCAGGCAGTGGCCTGCTGGCAGGCAGACAAGCCTTGCCAAACTCCCAATCACTTCCCAGACCTCCCAGGGTCCCCTGGGAGTGGCTCCACCCCAGCGGGCACCCCTCCAAGTGGAGCCCACGTCAGCAGGTCCTCACAGCTCCCTGGCCCTTTCACCCAGGGACAGTGGACCAGGCAAAGGGGCAGAGGCACGCTGACCCGGGGCCCGATGCTTGGAGAAGCGTGTGATTCCCTGGGCATCACGCTTCTGGGGCTGTTTCTGCCATGTCCGGCTCGGGCACTGGCCGAGAATGAGGCACCGAGTGGAGCACTCCCCTCTCGGGGCCCCAGCTTCCCATCCTCGTCACCCTTCCTGGGTGATGCATGGGCTCCGAGGCACTGGAATGAGTGATGAGTCAGAAAGTCCTAGTGGCCTTGGCCAATTCACAAGCCCTCTCCAGCCTTAATTTCTCCGTCAATGGAGATAGTCATGATAATGACCTTAGGAAGTTTTTGAGAATTAAAGTTTAAAATGTACCTGAAAGATAAGATCTTCAGCCTCAGCCTGTGGTGAGAAGTGGGGGGAAGCCCTGAGGGCCGCTGACCCCAAAGGCAAGGCTGGGGCCACCCTGGACAGGACCGTGGCTGTAAGTGAGGCCTGAGGCTCTAGCCTGGTAAGAGCCTTTGGTTGAGCCTGGATGTGCCGCCTGCTTTGAAAATCACTCCGTTCAACCGGAGGCAGGTAGGGAAAGGCGCTTGTCATCTGGGCTGGGAGACAGGGAGAGCCTGAGGGTCTCAGGATGGGGCAGGGAGAGGCCGGGAGGAGGGCGGTGTGAGAAATGCATGGGGGAGGTGGCTGTCACCTCTGCTGGGACGTGGGCTGTATTCAGATGGGGGAGAGCCCCGCCTGAAGCTGGGGGCTTTATGGGCCGCCCACCATGGGCAATGAGGCTGCCAGGCGGGCGGGCGCTGGGCCTTCCTGAAGGCTGATGGGCCAGGAGAAAACACGGCCTATGAACAAACACAGGCTGAGGTGTTGGTGCTGGCCAGAGCAGTCCTTCTCCCTGCTGGGGGGATATGGCTGCCGGACCCCACAGAGACTGCCCCCACCTCCAGGACTCCCCCTGTGAGCCCATCGCTGCTGCTTCTGTGGCAAACTCCACAGGTTCCAAGTGCTTTCACAGCCAGTCTCTCCTTTTCCCCTGAAGGCAGCTCTGAAGGCGGCCAGGGCAGCTGTAGCTCAAGCCCCAGAGTGCAGGAAGGTAAGCGAGGTCCAGAGAGGGGGTGGATTTGCCCACAGCCAGCAGGTGGTCAAGCTGGGGCTGGGCCCACACTACCCAACCCCGATCCAGCCCATCCACAGTGCCATGCCCTCCCCCACACCCTGTGTGGTGCTGGCCTGCTGGACAGGGAAGGACAGGGTGAGAAGCCGCTCTGGCGCGGGGCCTGCCCAGCTGTCGAGGTGAGTTGTGATCTGGCTGCCATGGCCGAGCTGGCGGGCACAATCTGTTCTCACTCTGCCGGGACCTGGACAGGCCAGGCATGGTGGCGCACCAGCTCAGCTGTCCAGGCCCCTGGCAACGGGTGACACAGCCCCCAGCTAGATGCCGGGGTCAGGGAGGCAGGGGACCCCATTCTAAGGGTAGCCCACAGCCTCACGTGCCCCAAGCAGCTGTCCCCAGACCTCCCTGAGCTTGAAGACTCAAATGGCCTTGGGCTGACAGATGCCTACTTTATTGGACCTGAGCTGACCCCCAGCCCAGGTGGAAGGTGAGGGCAACCTGGCACTTCATTCATTACTCATCATAGTGAGCTCTTCTTGAGCACTTGATACATACTAGGCTCTGGGCTAAGGGCATTAAACACATTTTCTCACTTATTTCACCCCCAAAAGCCCTGGGTATTAGCCCCATTTTACAGGTAGGGAAACTAAGGCTCAGGGAGGTTTAAAATCACACACACAGTCCATGGAAGAATAACGATTTGAATTCAGATCATACACCAAAGCACGCAGTATCCTGCCCTGCCTCGTCAAAGGTGCTGTGGGCATATCCCCTGGGCATGAACTAGAGAGGAACATGACAAGGTCCTGCAGTGCCTACCCTACACCCTAAGCTAGCGTTTACCTGTGTCTGTGTAGTTGGTGACCCTGGGGGGCGGGTCAGGGGGTGCTGGTAACATTGGCCCTGGCGTTCTGAGCTGAACCTTCTGTGCCACTCAAAGCAGAGGTCACCTCCAGCTCGGGAAGAATCCAGAACAACTGCATGGAAGAAGCAACATTTGGTTAAGTGTCGATAAGGCTTTGAAAGGAAGAAACATTGGAAAGCCTGCCAGCATTGTTTTTATTATAATCATTTCATTAATGAAGTAATGTATATCTTAGCCCAGCGAAGGAAGCAGAGCCAGGACCCGTAGATTTCATTTTACAAATGAGGGAACGTGTTCAGAAAGTGGGGGTCATTTGCCCACGGTCACCCAGCCACTAGTAACAGGGCCAGAGCTGGTGCCTAGGTTTTCTGAGTTCCCACCCAGGATCCTGTCCCCCCAGGGCTCCAGGCAGAACTCCATTTGATGGTTGGCTCAGAGGGAAGCTCCCTTCACTGCTGGCCTCTCCAAAGTGGGGCAGGTGTAGGTAGGGCAGAGAGGGGGGCAGGAGGCAGGGGGCAAGTGTCTGGAATCTGCAGCCCCGTAGAACTTGCTTTCTCTCCTCTTCCACTGTTTCTACCCCTCCCCCCCCCTCTAGGCTATGGCCACGCAGCGCCCAGCACGGACGGCGGCAAGGTGTTCTGCATGTTCTACGCGCTGCTGGGCATCCCGCTCACGCTGGTCATGTTCCAGAGCCTGGGCGAGCGCATCAACACCTTCGTGAAGTTCCTGCTGCACCGCGCCAAGCGGGGCCTGGGCATGCGGCGCGCCGACGTGTCCATGGCCAACATGGTGCTCATCGGCTTCTTCTCGTGCATCAGCACGCTGTGCATCGGCGCGGCCGCCTTCTCCTACTACGAGCACTGGACCTTCTTCCAGGCCTACTACTACTGCTTCATCACGCTCACCACCATCGGCTTCGGCGACTACGTGGCGCTGCAGAAGGACCAGGCGCTGCAGACGCAGCCGCAGTACGTGGCCTTCAGCTTCGTCTACATCCTCACGGGCCTCACGGTCATCGGCGCCTTCCTCAACCTCGTGGTGCTGCGCTTCATGACCATGAACGCCGAGGACGAGAAGCGCGACGCCGAGCACCGCGCGCTGCTCACGCGCAACGGGCAGGCGGGCGGGAGCCTGGGGGGCGTTGGGGGCGGCGTGGGCAGCGGCGGGGGCGCGGGCGGCAGCGTGCACACCACGGACACCGCCTCCTCCACGGCGGCGGGGGCGGCGGGCGGCGGCGGCGGCTTCCGCAACGTCTACGCCGAGGTGCTGCACTTCCAGTCCATGTGCTCCTGCCTCTGGTACAAGAGCCGCGAGAAGCTGCAGTACTCCATCCCCATGATCATCCCGCGGGACCTCTCCACGTCCGACACGTGCGTGGAGCAGAGCCACTCCTCGCCGGGAGGGGGCGGCCGCTACAGCGACACGCCCTCGCACCGCTGCCTGTGCAGCGGGGCCCAGCGCTCGGCCATCAGCTCCGTGTCCACCGGGCTGCACAGCCTGTCCACCTTCCGGGGCCTCATGAAGCGCAGGAGCTCCGTGTGAACGCCCCGCCCGCGCCCGCGGGGCCTGGAGCAGCTGGGCGGGTGGGCCGGGCGGTGGGGCTCCTGCCCCGAGGAGCAGCGGGGGGTGGGCGAGGGGGCCGCCCCCAGCCGCCCTCAGCCCCTGGGGGACGCCCCACCCCTCTCCACCCTCCCCAGCCCCCGCCCCATCTCCGACTGTGCCTGCTCGCACCAGCCAGCAGGAGCTGGGGCTCTGAGGACCCTGGAGCCCCTATCTGCGCCCTGCAAATTCCGAGACATGTGAAACTTGGTGGGGGCGGGGGGGGAGGGTAGCAGGGAGGGAAGGCAGAAGCTGGGAGCCTCCCGTCCCTTTGGAAATCTAAGGAGCCCCCCAGTTCTCAGAGGCCCTGCTGGTACCCAGACTGCCCCCCCTCCCCCAATCCGGAGGGGACTTCGTGTTCCGTGTACGTTTGCATCTCTATTTATACCTCTGTCCTGCCAGGTCTCCCACCTTCCCTGGGCTCCAAAAGCCAGGGTGTCTTTGTCCAGGTCACCCCCACTCAGTCTGCTCCCCTTCCTCACCCCCAGTTATGTCTCCGAACCTCCCACGACCTTCTGTGTTGTTTTGCATGGCTTTGCAGTTATGGAGAAAGTGGAAACCCAGCAGTCCCTAAAGCTAGACCCCAGAGGGCAGGTGGACAGAAGCCAGGCCAGGCCCCCTACTGGAGCCGGCAGAGAAGTGAGGGGCAGAGAAGGGAGGGGAGAGCCAATGGTCAGGGTGGTCCCGCTGGCAGGTGAGAACCAAGTGGCCTTCAGTCACATTCCCAGAGGGGCAGAGGGAATGCAGCCTTCCGACCAACACTCCCCTTGATGGACCAGAAAACGTCCTGCTTGCCATCCGGCCACTGCTCACCATCACCAACTCCGGCATCTGTGGAATGAGTTGTCGCCTTGGAAACCACATCCTGACTCCTCATCGTCTGAGTCTCCCAACACTCCAGTTAGGTCACCAGGGCAGGGATGCTCATCCACATTTTACCGATGACAGTGAGGCCCAAACAGGGGATGTGACTTGTCCAAGGTGACACGTACAGCAAAAGGCACAGGGGGACCAGAACCCAGGCCACTTGTTCCCAGGCGGAGTGCTCTTTCCTTCCCATTCCTCTGCCCGCTCCTGAACGCAAAGCTCCTGCCCTGTGCCCTGGCATTGTGTGGGCAACGGGGCCCAAAACAGGCCCAGACCTCAGGTCTGTGCCAGTGCTGGGGCTAGAGAGCTGGCAGGCATATCCTGCTGGGACTTCACCCCTGACCCCACAGCCGGTGTTGGTGCCTGTGTCCCGCGTGGCTAGAGATAAGCTAAGGCTGCAGCAAGGCACGCCCCTCCCAAGTGGGGGGCTTGGAGTTGGTGTGCCAACGGCCTATGTCATCTGCCACCCGGAAACCCAAAGGGAGAGCAGAGATGGAGGTGGGAACCCAGGCTCCCTGCGAGGACCCACACTGGAGCTGGCGCCTGACTCAGGACAGCATCAAAGGGTGCTGCCCTCGCATGCTGTTCCCATGTCCCAGCTCCTGAACACGCTCAGCCAGGCCCACACTGGCCTGCAGAAAAGCTGGAGTGGGGACCACGGGGTGATCAGCCTCTGGGAACCCCTGGGAGGGAAGAAGTCTGGCCTGGCCTGTATGTGAGTCCTGTCTCAGCGGGAGGAGCTGGCCGCCCACGTGCCAAGGAGAGCAGGGCCCAGGAGCCGGGGTGCCCTCTGTGTTTATGTTGGGGTGGGGAGCGGTGCCGGCTGCCTCTGTCTTGTGTGTGACCCTGCCCTCGAGGGGTCCTGTCCCGTCAGTCCTGAGGGAGCCACAACCAAAGTTGCAGGGAGATGGTGGGGAAGGAGGCTGAATGGCCCTGGGCGGACGGCTCGGTCTCCAGGCTCCCAGTCTCTGCTGGGTCTTTCCCGGGGAACCGGACGGCCAGCGTTGCTTCCCTCCCCCCTCCCACTGCGGGCAGCCTTTCTGCTTCCCCAATGCCTTATGCCTGGGCACACTGCCACAGAATATGCAATATGTGTGGGTGACATGCCCCACGCCCACACCCCCACCCCGGGCAGCCCCCGGACCCCAAAGGCTGCGGCTGCCACGGCCTCCCTTTAGACCCTGCTGCCTATCTGTCTTCACACTGAGAATGGCGTCTAATAAATACTGCCCATGGAGACCAGGTTCAGGCTCGGCTGCCTCTGTCATCATATACCCTGAGAGCGGCCAAGGCTGGGCCATCTGCTGACCCGCACACACACCTCTGCGCACACTCTGGCCCCGCCAAGGTCTACAGACACACTCGCTGATGCACCTCGGGCTGACTAGACCCTTTGCGTCCACAGGCCTTAGGGAGAAGGCTGGGGACAATACTGGCTTCCCTTTTGTGATTTCCTCCCAGGTCCAGGTTTTCTGTTTCACCAGCAACAACTATAAGACGAGACCTTAGAAAAGAAATCACCTGCTTCAATTCTCCCCTTGAACATGAGTAAACTGAGGCCCAGAGAGGGCAAGTCACTCCCCCTGAGTCACACAGCAATGAGTGGAGGGCCCAGGATTGGAACCAGAACCGGGGATTCCAAGTCCAGCGCTCCCCCTTCTCAGGAGCCTTTGGAGTCTGATGGACACACACACACTGCAGCTGACAGTGGCAGCCTCCGTCAGCCAGGAGTGGGGGTGCCCTTCTTCCAGCAGGGCCTTCCAGGCTCAGTGGCCTGATGCACACAAAAATGTCTCTCTCACAGGGAGACGCGTCACAAGCACCTTTCTTCAGGGTACATTTTTCTCTGGAGGGACAACTTGGCCTGGGACTGAACCCCAGAGCCCAGGACAGATCCAGCTGGTGCCAACCCCCGGAATCAGCTGGCCAGTGGCTTTGAGATGTCGCTGAGTGCAACCCAGAGTAATGCCTTTTCTACTGCAACCCCGAACCTATCTGCATGCCCGTCCATCTATCTCTCTTTCATGAAGTAATACTTAATCCCTACTACAGCCTTTCCATTCTAGTTCATGTGATGAAATGCTGGTCACTACCTACTAAATTTATCTCTCTCCCCACTAGGGCTCCCTGCAGATTGAAATACAGGGAGTGGGGTGGGGGCACTTTCTCCAGTCTCCACCCCTACCCATATAAGTCAACTGAAAGATAGAGAGACCTATTTATTGGGGGTTCAGGGATCAAAGGCAGAAGTGGTGGCACCTGCACCTCCACTAGCACACACCCCCTCCAGGAGGCAGGCAATGTGACAGTGCTCCCGGCTGCTCCGTGCAGCTGCAGGCAGGCTCCTGGGACGTGCTTCTCATTGGCCTGTGGCCCTCAGGGTGCCCTCAGCCCCCGGTGGCTCACCCTCACCTAAGAGCACCCCATCAAAAGCCGGGGCTCCCTGGCCCAATTGCCTCTGTCTTTCTCAGCGCAACGACAGCAGAGATGATGTCATTTTTGAGGTCAGCTGTGGCCAGTACAAGGTTGCTCTTACTCTCTTTAGCAGTTCTTGCAGGACACAAACATGCTGACACTTGCCCTCCTGTCTTTTTTCTTTTTTGTTAATCCTCACCTGAGGATATTTTTCCGTTGATTTTTAGAGATGGCACAAGAGAGAGGGAGAGACAAAGAGAGAGAAACATCGATGTGAGAGAGACACATCGATTGATTGCCTCTGCACGTGCTCCCCAACCAGAGCCAAGGATCAAGCCCTTGACCGGATCAAACCCGGGACCCTTCAGTCCATGCCTGACCCTGTACCCACTGAGCCAAACCGGCTAAGGCTGCCCTCCTTTCTTCGTCACCCAGGACAAAATAATCAGAGCTCGAAGGAGTCCTGAAAGGGCTGCATTCATCTCAGTCTTCCAAGGGGTGATCAGAATTGTGGCAGCGGTGAACTGCATGCCAGCCCCTGCCTAGCCCCTGAGGGCTCGGAATTGCCCATGGTCCTAGCGTGGGCTCTGTATCGCCAGGTGATGCCATCCCACCCTCCTCACTTACACACAGTATCTGAGGCATCCTGCACTACAAAATGCATGCACAGCAATGCAAAACTAGAAACCAGCACTGCAGGGGGCGGGGGGGGGACATGAATATACCCAAGATCCCGGCTGCTGTGGTGACTGTGTGAGCATCAGATGGAGGCAGAAGCGTCCTGGAGCCAAGAGAGAAAGAGGCCTACAACAGCAACTCTTCCCCAGACGTGTCCCATGGTGTGCCTGTGGGAAAGGGTTCCTCGGTCAAATGAAGCTGGGGAGACACTGCACCTGTCACTCATGCGTGGAGCTTCACAAGGACCTTCGCTTATAAAGGCTCTGAGAAGCCCTGCAGCAAACACAGCTGCTCCCCTCTGCTTCCCCCAGCCACACCCACACTCTTGCCCAACGCCAGACCCTCTGCTTGTGTGGCATCTCGTGTTCCACAGAGCACGTCTTGGGAAATGCTGACCTATCAAAATCTCATTGTCTAATGAAGAGAGAAGGCTGATCCTCCCCCTCGACAAATTCTTTAAAAAGTTCAGTTTAGAAGCCCTTCTATAACTGAAGGCCGTGACATTACCAAATACATATTTTATTCTCAATTGTGTGTCAGCTCGAACCAAGGCTCAGAGCCAGGATGGGACAGTGGGCTGGTGGCGGAGCTGGGATGTGAGCCCAGCCCGATGGCCCTGAAGCATTTGCTCGCACCCACCTCACTGTGTCCTGTCCCCAGGCCGGTCCATGTCATCAGCACAGGTTTGGCAGAAGTCACAGAGCTAGCTGTTTAGGACATGTCATTCCTTATTCAGGACATTGGTGAATGGGGAGGCTGTAACCTGTCACCCTTCAAAAATGACAGATTCTGATGCAGCTAAGAAACCCTGTTCCACCGAGATCCTCCCAATCCCATGCATGGGGCCAATCTAGCCTCTTTCTACAGGCTCAGCATTGCCTCAAGCCCAACAGCATCCCACAACTCATCTTAGGAAGCCGGGGACCGGGGACCAGGAAGGGACTTCTTGCGAGAGGAAAGAGCACTGTGCACGCGGACCATGC